AAAAAATCAAGCGTGAAATGCCGCTTCCAGACCTTCCAAAGTATGAATTTGTCCATGCTGCAGGTTGGCAAACTAAGAGAACCCTGTCTTGGTCAGTGACAGGGCGACCACCTGAAACTTGAAATATAAATTGTTTCCGATTTTACATTTCTGGGCAGTGAAACTTTTTACATGCTCGACGGTTAAGGTATTGTCTTCTCTAGAGAATGTGCGAAAATTAGGAGCCTGGTAATTCCTTATGAGGGGATGTTCATTGATGATCCTCTATGGAAATGGCCTCAGGTATGATGGCCGATTTGCCATTATGGATTCATCCCGAAATCATCCTCAGAACTTGTGAAACATTTTCAGGGTTCATCCTCAACGGTCGGTGGTCAGGAATAGGAATGTAGTCGTGCACTTGTCCTATGGGTTTGTCTTCCCATGGGAAAATCGGAGGAATACCATTCAATCTTGTTCCCAACGATATGTTATTGGGGCATATAAGAGGAGTTTTTCCCCTATCCATCCTATTGGGGGCAGTGACACTTGGTATAATATTGTCCATATAGGATGGGTCATGGAAAATCGCATGAAGTCGTGAGGGTAAAATTCCTAGAGGTGTAGCAACAACTGCAGCTTAACGCTTACGAGAGCTTGGTCGAGCATGTTTTGCGTCGCATTTTGTTGATCGTGCAACATTGCTTGAATGGTTTCCGTTTGTTGGTTGTTCAACTGTTGATTATATGTTAGTCATTCGTCTAGCACGGGGATTGATCCTCTACGATTGGTATAGCTGGAGTGGCTACTCCCGAAGAGGGACTTAACAAGAACGTTAAAAAAGTATGTGATTGAGACAAAGAAAAAGAACTTGTCATATGGATTTTCCGATGATTCAGCCGGACCGTAGACGTATGAAGGTTTCATCGGACGTAGGATCAATAATTTTATCTTAACTCTCACTGTGATTGCCAATTTGTTGAACTTGATTTTTGGACTTGAGATGATGGACCTCTAAGCACCAGTCTTAAAGTGACAATAAAAATAAATGAAATTAAAAATAAGTAGAACGTACAAAGATAAGAAAGTAGTGATCCCGAATAAATTTCTTTTGAAATCTTGATGAGAGCTAAAGATTCCTTTATTCCCGTTGCTCTTGGGCCACTTCGGATTAATCTTCTAAATCAGGTCAAATCCTCTTGGATTCAGCCACTTTTGGAATAAAGACATTAGGCTCCGATTGCCACTGTCTGATCTACCCTTATCGGGCAACCTGAATTCGGTCGGGGTCAATGATGGGCCGATCACCATTGAGTCATCCTTCTTGAGGCTTGAATCTGAGTGGGCCCCTGCAACTTTGGGCCGAACTCTAGATTAAATTTTTATATTTTTTTGTTCAATATATTTTTCAATGATTTCTTACTCCTTCTCATTTGAAACCACTATTTGTGGGCTCTCTACTATTTTATCAGTTCAAAAAGTCATAACACTCACATTCTATTAATCTTTTCAGCTTGTGATAACCACTTTTCTTGTTCTCACTCTTTCAACTAATATACCTCGGTAGCCAGTTGTTTCATCTTTGCATCCAAATTTTGTATGTTGGTATTTGTATCTTGTCGAGATTACAAAGTGTTAATAACTATGGTCTTAACCATATCCTCTAAAGATATACTTGAAGCTACATCAGGTTAAGGTGGTGGTGGTGGGCAATACATCTATTACGCTGATACTTGTGCTTGAAACCCTTACGGTTGATTCTCATACCGTAAATTGGGATGATCATTCCATTCAAGAATATATAGTATTATTTTCTTTTCTGATTACTCTAAATATTCCTCCCGTCTACTTACAAAGTATACATATTTTTATTTTAAATTGTCTAATTATAAATTAATAATTTTTTTTACTCACTACAATTAAAATACTATCCACTACAATTAAAATACTTCTATTTTATAATTATGCTACAAAAATAAATATATATACTTTTAAACTAGAGAAATGAGTATTATTTATAAAACCATTTTTTTTATATAAAAAATGATTATAAAATAATAGTAGAAAAATTCTATCAAAATTATTATACAACTTAAAAAATTGTTATCTCTAAAAGTCGACATCGACAGTCTAATCGGTATAGGCCTGTCAGTATCGATATGAAATGGGTTCCTCGACCTACTCAAGAAAGCGACTGAGCTTGTCATCGGTGCACAAACAAAACTGAGTGGAACCAATACGTGCTAATTATATTTGGATCTAATTTGTTATGATCAAAATAAAAGGAAATTAAATCGCATGGACAAAGAATGACGTGAAATAAAGCTGAAAATTAAATCTAATGCAATTGGAACTCGAGAACTTAAATATAGGAACAAAGCATATTAAAAAATAAAAGAAATCAAAGGAAAAAAAAAACTGAAAAAGTGCAAAAATATTAAAGAAATAAAGAACAAATAGCAAGTGAAGTTTTGGCTGTGTCTTTCTACTTCTCTTCTCCCTTCCTTTTATACTTTTTATCCCATTATTTTTTCAACTCACAACTTTCTTTTGCATGTTCCCATCATCAATCACTCTCTCCTATTATAATTTGACCAAACTTGCAATGTTTTGTTTGATGAGGGTAACAAATGTCTCCCTAAAAACTATAGGATTGACTGAATTTCTCAGAAACATCCGATATTTTTTATGAGAAGTGGCGTGATTCGATCATCTCCGAGGTTACTTGTCATCATAGGGCACTCGGATTTCAAGCCGCAAGCCGGCTTTAGCTCGAACCTCGAACTTTTATGATATTATATCGGATTCAATTCAGGCCTCTATTCTTTAGAGTGTTGTCAATCATGGTGGCGCTTTCGGGATTCTCTTCCTGACGAATTTTACAGGGGATACGAAGCTGTCAGCCGAGAGTCCGAGGCTCTAGCCTTGGAACTCTTGAGCTGAAAATTAAAAAAAAATGTGGGTCGTGAAGCCTTCAAATGAACCTTGATAGTCGCGGATGGATGTTGAAGCTCTGAGTTGATAATTAGAAGTTGCATGCTGCAATTGGTTCGCGCCCACTTTATGACCCAAAAATTCTACAAAAGCATATGATCCTCGTGGAACTATGCTCGTAAGGTTGTACACTTTCCCCAAGCCACGAAACCAGGCTGCATTATCGTTGCACACCACATGGCGTTAGGATTTTCTTGCGGGAAAGCAATAGCGTGGGCTGGCGATGCACAGGTACCTCAAACTGCAACCGAATCATGATCCGAATCGAGCTGTGGTTGCCGGGCAGCAGCTGCGGTGGATCACAAAGTGGCTAGAGTGACAATCAAATTTTCGGGCCATTGCGAAAGATGATCGATGCTCCCCATGCCTTTTGGTGCCTCCCGAGTCGAATGGTTGGGTCCTTTAGGCGGTATCGACGTTTCTGAATCGTCAACATCATGCCTCCTCTTAAAGATGGCCACTCGACCACATTAGAGCGAAGTCGATGTGGAAGGGTCAAGGCTGATGAATTTACATGCCTGGTAATATTTAGGGCCTCTTCGATTTAATCTTAATTCGTCGCGGGAGCTTCCATTACATGGTTTCCTCATCTCGAAACCACGTTGTTTTGTCCTCAAACATTGGCCTTACGACATCAACCATGTATTTTGTAACTTCATCAATAAAATTACGAAAAAAGCGCGGATCATTGCTCGGATTTGATCAGTATGCACGTTGGCCGGGAGAGTGACTAATTGCTCCTTCCTCCCGGTAGCTGCCGGGGATTTATCACGCATAGCTTCCCCTGCGCTTTTTCGTGCCAAAGTTTTTTCCACGAATCCTTTATCCTTAGATATAGTCGATGGCGATTTCAACTTGTGGTCTTGTAGTTGCAATGTAGCAAGACACCGGTGTCCCACTGGGTGTTCCAAACTGTTATCGCTAAAAATCAACATCGACGGCCTAATTGGTATAGGCCTGTTAGTATCGATATGAAACGGGTCCCCCGGCCTACTCAAGAAAGCTTCCAGACTTGTCTTGCAATATAAATCGGCGCTAAATATATCTGGATCTAATTTGATATGATAAAATTAAAAGGAAATTAAATCGCATGGACAAAGAATGATGCAAAATAAAGTTGAAAATTAAATCTAATGCAATTGGAATTCAAGAACTTAAATATAAGAACAAAACATATTCGAAAATAAAAGAAAGCAAAGGAAAATTCAAAGAAAGAAACTATAAAAGTGCAAAAACATTAAAGAAATAAAGAACAAATAGAAAGTGAAGTTACTCTACTTCTCTTCTTCTTTCCTTTTATACTTTCTTACCCCATTATTTTTTCAACTTTCAACTCTCTTATGCATTTTTCAATAATCAACCACTCATCTTATTCTAATTTGACTAAAATTCAATATTTTGTTTGATGAGGGTAACACAACCCATGCAAAATATAAATACTATATATATATATAAAAGTTGTTCTAGAGAGTAATGTTTGACTTATTTGAATTTCATTAACACTTTATTGATTGAGAATGTCACTTAAAGCTTGTTTAGGTACGGATATGGTTTGCAAACTATTACAATCAATTTAAATTGATTCAAATATATTTGAATAATATCAATTGCATGTTCAAATATCATTAAAAAAACATAAAATTTTTGGAAATGTGAAAGTAATAAAAACACAAAAAATGATGTGTTTGATCTGTATTTGTACAATTATTTAGATTTATAATTAATGAGAAAAAATATGAAATATTATATGCTAAAAAATTTAGAAAAGATAAAGAAACTATATTTATTTTTCGGAAAGAAATTCTAATTTTAAAAAAGATATGTATTTAAATGCAAATATTGCCAAAATACGGTAAACACAAGACAAGGGATCAAATAATACATGAGACTACTTTGCTAGGTATTAGGTTCACACGGAAGTTTACTTTTATTTTCGGGTAGCGAATGCGAATTTTTTCGTTATAAAAATAATACATGAGGGCCCATTAAAACAATAATAGCATATACGGCCCAGCCCAAAAGTAATCAATGCCGAAGTACGGACAGTGCAGAGTCCAGAGGGACGGGACGGAACGGAAGAGAGATATTGGACAGAGGGAAAACAAAGAGGAGGAAGAAGGGGAAGAAGAAGCATCATACAACGAGCGGGCGAGCGAGCGGGGCAAAGGAAACCGTTTCAGCCGCCAGAGCCGGCGCTTTCTCCGACTAGGTTTTCAGAGCACTGGTATGTTATGCTACTTTTACTCTCATCCAATTAGGTTTTCTTCAAAAAATGCATGACGCCGACTCTCGCTTTAGCGGTACGCTACTCACAAAGCGCCGCCGTGACCGCACCTTTGTGAATTTCTATGTAGCAGGTGGCGAACCGCCCCTTGCCTTCGTTCTTCTTGCTTCCGTTGTTCAGTTAGATACTCTCTGTAGTGCTAGATTAAACTTGTGGACGTAAATACTATTGAAATTGATTTCGCTGTGTGATGTTGAATCGAAATCGAATGTATTTAGGATGTCAGAAGAAAAGTACCACACTCTACAGACTGACGATAAGGGTTGTGGGGTTAGGTTTGTTGACAAAACTGGATTCTTGAAGCTTGTTGTCGAGAAGATTGACTGGCTTCACTACTTTCTGAGTGTAAGATGCCTTAAAAGTGAACTCTAAGGCCATGTATGGCATGAGAAGCTGTGGTCTCGAAAGATGATTTTTCCAAGACTAATCTTAGGTTTTTAAATGTTTAGAAGCTTGGTATTAGAACAGCTCAAATGTTGAAGGAAATTATCCAGTCCTACATTTGGGATTAACTAACCTTTCGGAATAGTCTGTTTTCACCTTCTTTTGAAGGTGAAAACAGATCCAAAATTCTTAATGGATTCTATTGGAAGTTTTGTCGGACTTCAATTCTATGTTCTTGCTTATGGGTTGATGTTAGTTTTGATACCTTCAACAGATCAATGTGATCATGATTCTATGCACAATAATAAATGTTCAGTTTTATGTTTTATATTATTTTATTTGGGACCGTGTATTCAATTAATTGACTCTAAATCTGCCAAATTAGTTAAAAAATGTAGCAGGTTTCTGGTCATCTTGAAGAAAGCTTGAATTTTATTTTATTTTAATTTATTTTCTTCGTGGAATGGCATGAAAACTAACACAGTTGTTTTTTACTCCCTTCTCTTTTGTTTTTTCAGCAATGCTGCAGCCATGATTGAGTCTGATATTTTTCTTACCACCAAGGTTCAGAGTGAAGATATGCTGGTAGTAATGGGAAATGAGCAGGAACATAGTGAATCAGAAGGCAGCCGGACAAAGAAGAAGAAGAAGCAAGATGGAACATCGCGACCAGCTTGCTCTTGGGTGCATTTTAGGTATTCTCTCTTGTGATTAATCTGAAGTGGGTTTTAAAGACACTTTTTTCTTTTATTTCACATATATATGCATGCACTAACGATCCAAAGAAATATCTTAGTCGTGAATTTATCAAGGAGTACACTGCTTCCCATCCCGAATCTTCAGGCTTGAAAGCGGTGAGGACCTTCCTCTTCCTTTAAAATACGGTATTATTAACTCTGGTAATGATTGGAACTGTTCTATATTTCAGGCCACAAAAGCTGCTTCAGATGCTTGGAAATTGATGAGTCCAGAAGAGAAATCAAAATACACTAATCGAGCCCGTGAAGTTTGGGATAAATACTTGAGCACTACACCTGCTCGTGTGCCCAAGCCTAGAAGACAAGTATTGATATTTTGTTTTCTTATGTAGATATTGTGTTGCAAAGTCCTCTCTCTATATAATTCAATTTATGATATGTGGTGCAGACAAAACTTGTCACTAGGTGCTCTCCTGGTCGGTTATTAAATGTGTTGCAACGACTGACTCCTGAACAGCAGGCTGCTGTAAAGAGCATGGGATTTGGAAGTATCCTAAATCTCAGGTGCCGAACATTGCGGCGCAGTCTGTGTCTTTGGTTATTGGAGAAGTTTAACACAGTTCGGCGCAGCTTGGAGATATGTGGGGAACGCATCCCTTTGAGTCCCCATGATGTTGAACTGGTGATGGGATTGTCTTCCAGTGGGAAAGATGTTGTAAACTCTGGACCTGATGAGTTAATTGCTGAATTACGCAAGAAGTACAATGCAACAAATCGTGGGATTTCGGTCCGTCTCTTGGAGGAAAGATTGGCAGTCCCTGAAGCTGGAGAAGATTTCAAAAGATCATTTGTTCTTTATGTATTAGGCACTCTTCTTTGTCCCACAGCAAGACTAGATGTCAGTCCGTCATTTCTGCATTTTTTGACTAACATGGATGTTGTACACCAATATAATTGGGGGAAATTTTTGCTTGATCGGCTAGTTCGTGAGGTAGCCCGTTATCGTCAAGGGAAGCAACGTGCAGTTGGTGGTTGCCTTTTGTTTCTCCAGGTGAGAAATATTGCATGTGCTCTTTTCATCATCATCTTAAGTTTTGCGTGTTTCAACATTTTATATGTTCATCAGCTCTTTTATTATGAGAGTGTTGCTGTTGGAGAACCATCCGAACTATCATCTGCTGTTTTTCCATGCCTGGCCTCTTGGGGTGAGGAAGAAATAAGTGAGAGAGAAAAGCAAGAACGGGAGCTTGGAGGTTATGGATGTGGAGAGGTATGAAGCATGGTGCATATCTACTATGAAAACTTATTTAATTTATCATAATTGGGTACAAGTGTTTCTGTTCAGGTGGTTTGCAAGGAAAGGGGCTTAGGGGTGGGACTAGGTTATAGATCACAACAAGACAACAGTTCTCCGGCATTAAGTTCACCAAATATTGAAAATTACACTCTTATCGAGCAGGTTGGGTATCAGGTAGTTGATTTTGATTTGTATTTTTTATATAGTTTTTTAACGGGGTGCTACATTTACAATATTAACCCCTTTAATCTGAAAGTTTGTATTCTGCATTTCCATATCTTCACTCTTTGTAATGGTCGAAATCTGAGTATAATAGCAACTGATTGTGCATATATGCAATGAACATTATTTGTCTATATGCATTCACATTTTTCATATAATGAACAATTTGTATTTTAGTTGCCATGACAATTCCTTGTAGAGCTGCTTCTTTTTGGGTTAAGAAATTGGCATGCCCAGTTCCTGAAATCGTCTCTATCTTATACTTATTATGCTGTACAGTGTACTATTTTATTATTATTATTATTTTATTTACTTATAAGATGTTCTTTATACTATTTTCTGTAGCAATATCTTTTTCAAGAAGATTTGAAGACAGTCGATGATGTAAGGAATTTTTGGATTGCATTCTCTAATTGATAATGATGTCATATGTTGCAAGACTGATGGTGTTTCCTGTATATGTTACAACTGCTAACCTGTTTAAACTTTTAAGTATGTGCCTTTGTTTCTTCTCTTCACGTGATGTTTTTAAGCATACTTATCGTTCCTGTTGGGTTGGTATGCAGTAGTTCTACTTCCTGCCTATTTAGATTTAGTAACAAGATACTCTAGATCCCTCACGGGAGCATGCATTTTCTTGAGCTCCTTAAAAGGATTGCATTATTTTACTTTTGTAGAACTTTGAGTGTTACACATAGACTGCTGAATTTTTCTGGTGAGACACCATTGTGATAGATCATTGTTTTTATATTATGTTTTAAATAGTTAACAAAAGAATGCAAACTCTGTTGTCTTTAACCTTAATTATGTAACTGTTGGTTTGAAACTTGTACCCTAGACTGCTGTACTTTGCAGTCGGCGTTTGTAATTGCATCGGTTATTTTGTGGGGAACCTAGCTTGGGAGTCTAAGAAGATTTTGGCTCTGGATTTAGCTATCCAAACCCAACCCCACCTTTGTCCCCTCTATATAGGAGTCAAAAAGAGCTCTCTTTAAAGATTGCTTTTTACATCAAATTTCCAATGTATGATGCCCAAGCTAACTTCTGTTGATGACCTGTGAATGTGCAGATTGGCGAGGATCATGTTAACGGGGACATGATTACTGCTGAGGTAACCATTCATTCTGTATGTAAACACTACTTTTATGCGTGTTACAACTTCATGTGACAGGAAGATTTTTAGATTTATGTCTCTCTGCCAACTGTGCAAATCCGAGACCGCACCCTCCTCCCAACAGAACAAATCTGTGGAGATTGACAATGTATTAGTACCTGTTATGGAATTAATTGAAATTGCTGTCTTTTTTCTCAGGAAAATATGCCATTAAGTGGAAATGACTGCAATGCAGTCTGCATGGAAATCGAAATTGCGGATCCAGACAGAGCACCTTGTCGAAATATCCAGTATGGCTGTGCAGAAATCATGGAAAATACTAAAAGGAAAGATCACGAAGAGGTCTGCATCTACGCACCTTGTGCTTGCCCCCTTCGTAAGTGCCATTTCATCGGCTCAACCTCACAGCTATCCGAGCATTTCAGCAGCAAGCATTGGGACTCTGGAAGACGGTTTCAGTACAACAGCCCTTTACCCGTCACCTTAAACAAGAACGAGGCCTGCCTCGTCCTTCAAGCTGAGAAGGACGGTATTCTTTTCCTTCTCAATAAAGGGACAGAGAGTATTGGCCACACTGTCATGATAACATGCATAGGCCCAAGCTCATCCAAAGAACAGTACTTATATGATGTGGTATCTGAAAGAGGTAATAGCTGTCTCAGATTGAAGTCGTATACGAACAATTTTCCAGGCAGGGTCGAGGGTTCTCCTCCCGTGGATTTCCTCCTTGTTCCGTTTGGTTTTTTAGCCCCGACTGGGAAGCTTGACCTAGAGGTATGTATACGGAACTCAACTGATATAGGAGCTGATTGATCGCAAAATTTGTCGTCACTATCATGTCATATTTTTATCTTGCAAAGTGTACTTAGTCATTCTGTTAGAGAAATAGAAAAGAAAAGAAAAAAAAAAGTGTTTTTATGTGATTTTAAGTAATATGCAACTTCATTAGAGCAGAAACACTTAGGAGGCTAACCTAACATTGCAATAGGAGAGTGTACACTTAAAATTCCAAGCCTCTCCGATTCATGATCCAAATATTGTAATTATTTCCGGATAATATAACAGTAATAGGAGAGTGTACATTTATACAATCCATATTCAAGAGTAAACAAAACGCCAAACCCGATCAAATAAAATGTTGTATGTGAAGAAAATATAACCCGTCAGTGAAAGTTAGATCGGATTGGGAGAAACGTAGAGGATGACATGGCCAAAAAATGACGTCGGTCAGCGCCAGCGGTGTGTCGAGATTGATCAAGCACGTGTGATGCACACGCGATGCCAATCGGGACGAAGCTCCGGCAAGAGACGGTGGCTAAAAGTTAATGGCTAAAAAAATCGGTTATGGCTCTAATATCATGCTATTTTGCGGGGAAAAAAATGGGCTTAGGCCTAAAGTAAGATATAAAATAGGGAAAAAATTATTTTTGATCTTTTTTTATTACAATTTAATCAATTTTAATTTCATATAAAATTTTCATCAAAATCAATATAATATTTTTTTAATTAATTTTGATTTCATCGTTAAATTTATAGCAAAATATACTAACATGGACTATGACATTTGATTTAGAACATACACCACTATATTAATACACCCAATTAATATATTATTGTCTGTATACAAACAAGAAAGTGTTCAACACCCGTGTTTAAAACCAATTTCAATACGTCAAATTGGATGTGGGATAGCCGGAGACTCGTACAAATGAGTCGAATATATTCATTTATTTATAAATATTCTTGGCCTCAAATTCGCTCAAAACCAAATAGCAACAACCACGAACAATAAAACAACACTAAAATGTTCTCAGATAAATTTAATTGCACACAGACCGTTGGTTATGAACTCTGAAAGCAGTAAAATTAAAACACGAAACAATTGTTAACCTAGTTCGGTCATCAACGACCTACATCTGGAGGTTCCAATCCAGGCCTAATTCAACTTATTAAGAATCAGATCAAACTTAGTATTTTGATATTCAACCCTCGTAAATCCCCTTTTTCTCTCACGGAAGATTTTTTAGCTTTAATCTTAGCACAACACACCATTTTTGCTCATCTATTCTTCTTTGAGCTAATTTACTCAAAACCCTACTTTTATCACTATACCTAGCCTCAATATTTCTAACAATTACATCATTTTTCTTTCAATCTCAATTATTTTTATTTTTTTGAATTTTTATGCACTTACTTTGATTCATTGTTGCTCTATTATTATTATTTCTTTTCGTGGCGTAGCATCCTTCTTCAATACTCTCATCTCTAGAATATTCTATGTCACTCTTAACAACTTCTTTGCTACCTCACATGAGCACTATTAGAAATTATTATAACAAATTTTCTGATTCCATCAACAATAATGGAGACCTAAAGCTGATTTGATATCTGAGTCATCAATTGGGCTTCCTTCAAGAATTGGACTCAAATCAAATTGGATTGCGTCTAATATATATTAATATAATACAAATACAACATATGTACAATGCTTCGATTTTGGAATATATAAAACAATATACTTCCTCTGTCCGCTTCTATGGGTCACATTTACCTTTTGTGTCATTGTACTTAAACATTAAAAATATCATTATATTTGTTAATTTTGTGTACAAATATCATTCTATTAGTACCGTAAGATATTAATAGAAGTATTTTTGTAATTTTTTCTTAATTTGTATTATATTTTGATATAATAATTAATATTCAAATATCAACACTCAAAAAGTAAATGAGACCCTTAGAATATTTTTTATAATTTTTAATGAGAACAATAAATTAATAATATTATAGAATAAATTATATTCCTATTTAGTATGTCGATTGAATAGATTTTGAAAGGATAAATACAAATTACAATATATATAATAATATTATAATATATTTCATTCATCCAATTTAAAATATTTTTTTACTATTTTAATTTGTTCTACTCAAAAGTATTACATTTTTTATTTTATAAAGGAAATCATACATTAATATAAAAATACTTTTAATTTTTAATTAAATTATAAATATATTATTACGCATACATTCATTTTATATATAAAGTCAAAAAATAAAAATGTCAAAACCTTTTGAATATTTTTATTAACCAATAAAATATTATTATTTTTTAATTTATTACAAAATTCTAAGAAAATAAATTCGAGTGGGACGGACCAGGTGTATTATATAGAATGATAATGATGGCGGTGAGGATAACAACAACAATAATAATAATGTGTTATGTAATAATAATAATATAATGGTAAATATAATATATATTTATGTATGTATATGTAGAGGTGTTGTGTGTATAAGTATTGTATATATATATATAGATGTGTCTGTATGTATGTATAGGTATTTATATTTATGTTTATATATATAATTATAGAGAGAGATAGAGATTGGGATAGAGAGAGATAGAGGTTGAGAGAATGAATTGTGTGATTTTTATTATATCTGCTCACTCCAACAATTAATACCTATTTATAGGTGTTAAAACCTTTACCGGAAGGAAGAGAAAAGCATACAAAAGGCCATCTAGTCACTTTGTGTGTACTACGTACATATTTCATAACACTCCCCTTTGGATGCTTTTATACAAAGAATGTGCCTCGTTAAAATCTTATATGAAAAAACCTCGTGGGAAAAAAATCATAGTGAAGGAAAAAGAGTACATTATTCCTGTATTAATGCGCTCCCCTTGTTTTGGACTTTATTTGATGTCTTTCATCCGACACATTCCAATTCCTTGCACCAGTTTGTTGAATGTTGCAGTCGGTAGCGCATTCGTAAATAAATTTGAAAAATTTTCAGATGATCAAATTTTTTGCATATTAATTTCACTACTTTTCTGAAGATCGTGGGTGAAAAAGAATTTTTGAGATATATGCTTTGTCCGATCGCCTTTAATATACCTTCATTGTAATTGAGTTATACAAGTTGCATTATCTTCAAATAATATTGTAGGAGGTAATATATCATCGGTAATCAACCCACAATTTTTATGAATATAGTGAGTCATGGACCTCAACCAAACGCATTCACGACTGGCTTCGTCAATTGTTAAAACCTCAACATGGTTTGAAAAAGTAAATTGTCTGTTTAGCAGATCTCCAAGAGATTGCGGTTCCACTACAAGTAAATAAATAGCCAGTTTGAGATTTTGCTTTGTGTGGATCAGACAGATAACCAGCATCAGCATAACCAATTAATTCATAATGAGATTCACTCGAATAAAATAGACCGAGGTCATGAGTCCCCTGAAGATAACGAAAAATGTGTTTGATATCATTCCAATGACGCTTTGTGGGGGATGCACTAAACCTGACCAGTGGATTTACTAAAAAAAATATATCTGGTTTGGTACAATTTGCAAGGTACATTAATGCGCCAATAACGCTGAGATATGGTACCTCGTGGCCAAGTATTTCTTCATTTTCTTCTCTTGGCCTAAATGGATCTTTACTGGGATCAAGAGATCTGACCACTATTGGTGTACTCAGAGAGTGAGATTTATCAATGTAAAATTGTTTTAATACCTTTTGGGTATATGTGGATTGATGGATAAGTATTCCATTGTTCACGTGATCCACTTGTAATCCCAGACAATATTTTGTCTTTCCAAAATTTTTGATCTCATATTCTTTCTTTAGATATTCAACTGCAATTTGGATCTCTTCTGAAGTTCCAATTAAATTGAGATCATCAACATATATTGTAATAATGACAAAATTTGCTCCATTTTTCTTGATAAAGACGCATGGGCATATTGAATCATTAGTATAACATTCTTTTATTAAACAGTCACTGAGATGGTTATACCACATTCGCCCTGATTGTTTAAGTCCATACAATGACTTTTTCAATTTGATGGAATATGATTCCTTTAGGTTTAATTTGTATGCTTCAGGCATATTGAATCCCTCAGGAACTTTCATATAAATATCAGTATCCAATGAGCCATAAAAATATGCAGTAACTACGTCTAAAAGATGCATATCGAGCTTTTCTCACACTGCTAGGCTCACAAGGTATCTCAATGTTACTCCATCAACAACCGGAGAGTATGTTTAATCAAAATCTACTCCAAGTCTTTGTGAGAATCCTTGAGCCACAAGACGGGCTTTATATCTCACAATTTCATTATGTTCATTTCTTTTTCGTACAAACACCCATTTGTATATTACTGGTTTTATATCATCTGGTGTTTGAACAATTGGTCCGAAGACTTCCCTTTTGAATCGCATGTTCCCATTTTGGCCAGTCATTTCTTTTCCGATATTCATGAACCGATTTTGGCTCTGGATCCTCATTATCTTCCATTATATCAAATGCTAATGTAACACCCCCAGTTGGCTCATACTGGAAATGCTACCGCCACACTGCATCATGAGGTCGTCACCTCCTACTTCGGGCCCCACAATACAGTGTTAAGGCTAAAATTAACTATAAAAGCGCATTATTATATAACAAAATCTAATTTATGAATATTTACAAATACGCTCCTAAACAAGAGGTTTTTCCGGTTAAAAATTTACATATAATACAATAGATGTAAGTTCCCTCACTCAGCCCGCCTTTCAATATCCCAAGACGTCCCCTGTCTCGGATGTGCCATGCATACCTGAAACAAATATTTTTCTTAAAAACAGTCTAGAATTAAATTCATTTTAAGAACTAACGCGAAGTATGTCATTTCATATATTTTTAAAACAAAGTCTAATTCCTGTCAATAATAAAATACGTGTCATGTCATGCCAATAGTGAAATGATGCAACAAAGATATCAAACTCGACAACAATGTACATCCACATATATATACATCCGCCGAAGTGAGCAGCCAGAATAACCTCGGCTCTATAATAATAGGCTCACTGCATCTGTCTAAGGGAGCAACCGAAATAACCTCGGCTCCATAATAATAGGCTCACTGCATCTGTTTAAGTGAGCAGCCGGAATACCCTCGGCTCCGTAATAACAAGCTCACTAGACCATCATCAATAAATAGCCGGAAAATCCTCGGCTCAAGAAAGGACCTGATAAACCCATAATAATATAACGGTCATCCGGTCACTTCCA